GGGGGACCGCCCGGTGGCGGCGGTGGTGGAGGGGAGGAGGCGGCCGCGGCGGTGGGGAGGCGCCGGGGACAGCGGGGAGGCGCTGGCGACGGCGTGGAGGGGAGGAGGCGACGGCGTGGAGGGGAGGAGGCGGCCACGGCGGTGGGGAGGCGCCGGCGACGGTGGGGAGGCGCCGGCGTCGGCGTGGAAGCGCTTGCGCAAGGCGCAAGTCTGAGGGACGGCGGGGAGGTGCCGGGGACGGGGACGGCGGCGATGCTGGGGATGCGCGGGCGTGATGCGCGGACGTGTGTGTCTGTACATGCACGATTTGAGGGAAAAGCAGCTAAGTAAATGCCTCTGTTTCTCGAAAGTGCCTAGATATACTTTTCGGTAAACTCAAGCACCGTAGCCCAATTACATGTGGGCTGGTACATGTTTACCGAGTGCCCAGATCTACGGCACTTTCGAACAAGAAGCACCGCAGCCCAATAACATGTGGGCACGGTACATGTTTACCGAGTGCCCGATCTACGGCACTCGGTAAATGAAGCATGGCAGCCCACCGTGGGGCGCATAGTGGCCGTGGCTAACCTTTACCGAGTGTTTGAGGTCACACTCGCAAAAGTATCCATTATTTCAAGCAAAACAAAAATGAAAAATGCCAATTTAATCCTAAAATTCACCAAACTTTCACATGAACTATTTCATGTCATCTATTTACTATCTAAAAATTCCAAGTTCAAATCATAATGTTGAATTTCACTCTTAATAGAAATCCTACTCGTCATTGTGAATGTTTAGCGTCTCTTTGGGAGATGTACGGTTCGGCAAATGATTTAATGTAAAAATACTTCAAACGTTATGAAAATTTTCTATAACATAGATGTATGCTTCAATGTTAATTCTTCCAATCTCGTGATTTATCGAGTTCGATTTTAATTATTACAATTAAATTTACACGATATGTACCTAATTATCATAAAGAATGAAAATTTTGTGAAATATAGTAAATAAATCGAAATAAACACCATATTTTGGAATGGAGTACTAAATATCATATGTGGATAGAGGAAAAAGAAAGAAGGAAAAACAAGAAATTTGGTTGAATTTTACTGCGAGTGTTAAGCCAATACACTCGGTAAAAGATAGTGTTTACCGAGTGTTGTGCACTTACACTCGGTAAAACTTTATTATTACCGAGTGCAAATACTTCTACACTCGGTAAACATGTCATGCCGTGACGCCGTTTGGCGCACAGTTGGTATACTAGGTGACGTGGCACCTCAATACCGAGTGTCTATTTTTACCGAGTGCACCCCTTCGGTAAACTTGTAGTTTTACCGAGTGTTTGAAGTTACCGAGTGTGCGGACTCGGTAAAGCGGTCTACTACCGGGTGTTTATTTTTTCCGAGTGTTGACACTCGGTAAGTAGTTTTTTCCGAGTGCTCCGACTTTTGACACTCGGTAATTGTCGGGGCACTCGGTAACTACACAGTCTCCGGTAGTGAGTGATATCGCCCGTGATTGCCAGGTGATGCCTAGTAGCTTCAATGGCGTCTGCATCGATCCATTATTAAAAGAACATTGCAACAGAATGTATCTTTGCATAAAAGTATGTTTCATAGCAAAACAACCCGTCTCCTAGTTTCATAAAGTTGGACCCATCCACCTACTATGCACAGCTACGTGGCATACAAATCCCACCAGACTGCATGCATGCATGGATGAAATCTTTTGTGGGTTAGATTCTTTAAAATAAATTTTCTCTTAAACCATAACCCCAATTAACAGACCGTTTGCTGCATCTTACTCAAAAATGTGCTTAACAAAACTAGATCCAATATGGATATATTTTATTATTTTTACAACGAATTGCATCTCTGTGTGTTACTGATTGCAACTCCGTATACTACCGAGTTGCAACTAGTTATAACTTTGTGTACCTTTTGCATCATAACTGGATTCAGTTGCAATTCAGAGTTGGTATCATATCTGATTGTAACTAGAGTAGCAATTGGGTTGCAACTGTGTAGTAACGGGTTATATGTACAACTATGTAGTAACTGCTCTCATATGAGAATGCACCCAGGCGATAAGCGAGTCGAGAGCGAACTAACCAAAGATGCATGCACCGAGACAACCAATAGCTAATTTGCTACTTCTCACCACTCATGGTTAGCCACATGCAACAAATACAACTAGCGAAAACATGCATGCATGGATGGAATATTTTGTGAGTTCAATTCTTTGAAATAAATTTTCTCCTAAACCATAACCCCGATTAACAAACCGCTTATCGCATCTTACTCAAAAAATGTGTTTAACAAAACTAGATCCAATATTAATATATTTTATTATTTTTACAAGGAGTTGCGTCTCTCAGTATTATTACTGATTACAACTATGTAGCAACTGGGTTGCAACTATGTAGCAACTAGTATACAAACGGAGTTGCAACCAGACCGCCCGAGCGGATGCAACTAGCCTACCCAACCAGATTACAACCGCCTATGCAGGGACCCATCGCCACGCATAGCGCACAAAGCTTAGTTGGTACGTGCATGCATGGTAGCAGCGGCGAAGCTAGCATGCGCTTCTTGGATGCTTGTCACCGGCTCCGGCACTCATTTAGTTTTGTTCATCGGTTCATCCACGGATTCGTGGTCGCCTCCAACTTCTTTGCTTGGTGTTAGTAGTTAACCGATCATAGAGATCGATAGATTCCTGCTCGCATGTTTGATCAATGCAGATCGTGTGATGCCTGGCCTGCCTACCGAGACTCACCGTATGCATTCCCAAAGTGAGTGTTATTTGCTGCAAGCAACTCCGTAAAAGTCGTGCACGACTTTTTTTAGTTTTTTTTCCTTTTTCTTTTTTTTTTCCTTTCTCGTGAAGTTCTTTCTTTCTCTTTCTCTCACTCTATACATCATTTGTACGTGCAGTCCCTGAGGATGGCTCAATGCTTTGTTGAGTGGAAATAGAACTACCATTGACACACTTTCCTTGCTCCCTGCGGCAAATTTTCTTCTGAGCACACCCACAGCCAACCCAAACATCTGCCTATGAGCATGCAGCTTTACAAGCAATTTTGTGCCAACGTCGTCCGGTGCATAAGGAATGAAGGAACGTGAGCTGCTGAGCTAACCTGAGACAGTTCATTGAAAATGTTTCTTCGGCCTGCTTGCTTGCTTGTTTACTGTACATGAGTTCATTGAAAATGTTTCTGCTAAATAGGCTACAACCAAGTTGCAATTGTGTTGCAGACATGCTTGCAACTCATTGTACAACTTAGTTGCAATTACATACTTTAATTTTTTTTAACAAATATAGCCTTCATAGATCTCATTTTGTTAAGCACATTTTTTCGAAGAACCTACTTCAAACCGATTCAAAAACGGATAAGTGGTTTAGGAGATATCACATTTTTTCGAATCGAATCAAGAAAAGATTCCATCCATGCATGCTTCCTAGTGGGTGGGTTGACCTATGAGGTGGCATCACGTGGTTGGTTGTGTCCATTTAATTTTGCATGCACGAGCGCAGGTTTGGCAGGAAAATGTGGGGAGGGTCCTGCAGGCGTGCGCTGGCGCGTGGACCACAGGGTTAGAGAGGGTTTGTGCACTCATTGCACGGAATGCAACTGGCCTACCACACAAGTCGCAACTGGTCTACCACTAGAGTTGCAATTTGTGTACGACTAAAGTTACAATCGGCTGACAGACTGAGTTGGAACTGGTATAGAAATGGAGCTGCAACTAACTTAGTTTAGGGCGATTTGCAATCGCCTATCACCAAGGTTGCAATTTGTGTACGACGGAAGTTGCAATCGGTTCAAGGGATGGGTTGCAACTGGTATACAAACGATGATGCAACCAGCCATCTAGAGCAATGCAATCGACTACCCAATATGAATGCAACAAGCCCGAAAGGACACCTGGTTGTGTCCTTGCCGTCGAGAATCATACAATCGTCATGTCCAGCTCTAGTCATTGGAATCTCTGTGCTTGAACAGATTGAGTGAAGCCATCTCCTTGCTGGAGCCTCTTACATCGGGCGTCGTCGACTCAGACGCCGAGGCGCTCTGATTGCCATGGCGGTGGTGATGATCCGCACCAATGAATCTAGTACCAACAAGAAAACAACAAGGTTAGCCACGTGCAACAAAAAACAGCCAGTATGCATGCATGGAATCTTTGGTTGGTTGGAATTTTTGGAACAATTTTTCTCCAAAACCGTAACCCTGATTGACATACCGTTTGTTGTGTTGTACTTAGAAAAATATGCTTAGCAAAACTAGGTCGAAATTGTGTATATTTTTTATCTTTTAAACAAGTTGCATATCTGTGTACTAGCGATTGCAACTTTGTCTACTACCTAGTTGCAACTAGTTATAACTCGGTGTATTATTTGCATTTGCTCACTATAATTACGTCAAGTTGCAATTATATCTGGTTGCATCTCGCTCACTATTCAAAGAGGGAGTTGCAAGCGTATCTGTTGCAATCGGTGTAGTAATTGTGTTGCAAATGTATCAGTGACTAATTGCAACTAGAAGTAACCGGTTACACCAGGTTATAACTAATTACAAGCAGTACTACTTAGGCTACAACCAAGATGCAATTACGTTGTATTTGTACTTGCAACTCACGCTATAACACAGGTGCAACTACTAAGGATGAAAACGGACGGAATCGAACGGAGAACTCCTCAACTGTTTTCTACTTTTACATTTGAATACGAAAACGAAAACGAAAGCGGACAAACCGAACACGAAAACGAACACGAACTTACGGAATATCGAGAATTTCGAAAACGAAACAATTCGAAATGGAATTATATCGAACACGGTCGGTATACGAGAATTCAATACTGAACCGACCCACGAAGCATAACATTAAACAAGTTCATGGCCAAATACATAACAAGTTCATGACTAACAAGTGCATGATCTAGTTCAAATTAACAAGTGCGTGACCCGTGGTCTTAAGTAGTACGACACACAATTAACGTAACATGAACATCTATGAGCTCATCAAATCATCCATGATGTCGGGGATCAAAGTTCCCATCGCTCTCCATGTCTTTTGCATCCTCATTGTCCTCCTCGAGTCCCCATTGCCCTCCTTGTCCTTGTCCTAGAAATTTGCAAAGTGAATATATACTGAGAGAAGCATTAGGGAGTTCCATAGAATCAGCCGAGTTGCATATGGCAGCTAGCTAGTGCATCCGATCCATCTCTCCTTGCCAGAACATGCATATGCTGATAATTAAGGCTTACTGATAATGCAATGCACTCTCTTTGGGTATTAGTGTGATCAGTATATGAGAATAAGAAATGTTTTTATTTGTGCTACAATCAACCCGATCCTCCCTCCAAAGAGGGCCACCAAGATTAGACCAAGTACATGCATGCCACGGCACCATATATAGATGGAGTTGAAAGTGTGTGCGGTGTGCTACTCCACTCAACAAGATAGCTTTAACAATGAGCCAACATCAAATATAGACAGAGGAGAGGATAAACATACCTCAATTTTCAGTTTAGCCACAACATTAGTCAAAGCATCAACTTCAAGATCACTCACAATTAATCCAACCACTTTCGCATCTGAACAAAATATTAGTAAGGGGAAAATATCAATGCATTATTATGCTGCAATTACAAGTGTATAACTGAAAAAGAGATAAAATGACCACCTTTACTTGCTGCAGCAACCCAATCCTTTGTGCAAATTAATGCATGTACCATCTCGGGATCAAGACGACTGCGATAGGGATCAACAACACGACCAGCAGCACTAAATGCAGACTCGGATGCTACCGTTGATACTTGTACAGCCATTACATCCCGAACAATCTGTGAAAGGATAGGATACTCTTCTCTCTTGTTTTTCCACCAAGCTAAGATGTCAAACTCACCAACAATTTTCAGTAGTGGTTCCCCATATACCTCTCTAACTCATTTGTCTCAACCATAGCATGTTCACTTTCATCATATAGGAATTCTTCTAGGTCATGGTCTACATTTCCCATTAATACATCAGCTGTGTTACTAGGTCCAGGTGCAGCCACACTACTAGTTTTCTTTGCTGGTGCAGGAGCAGAACTAGCATAAAAGTTGTATAGTTTCTTTACCACACAAATAAACTCATCGAGTGCAAGTTGATAGTGATCACCATGGAACTTCTTCATGTAGTACTCTATTAGCCTTTTCTTATACCTTGGATCAAGAAAACAAGCTACAGCTAGAGCAATGTTGGACTGTTCCCAATATTTTTTAAATTTTGCATTCATAGCAACAGCCATTTCTCTAATTGTATCATCTTCATTAAAGCACCAATCATCTAGCAAGATCTTTATATCACAGAAACCTCTATAAAATAAGTTTGCAGTAGGATATGAAGTGCCAGAGAGAATTTCAGTGAGATCATAAAATTTCTTGAGACAACCATAAATTGTCAAAGCCTTTTCCCATTCAACAGAAGATGGAGAAATCTTAGCATACCTACGGCGATTTGAAGACTTCAGCCTAATAAATGCATCCTTGTAGTACAAGGCATCTCTCAGCATTAGGTAGGTAGAATTCCACCTTGTTGACACATCAATTTGAATACCCCTCTTTGTATCCAACCCAGCTTCGGTGGCACACTTCATAAGCTCTTCCCACTGCAATGGAGACCCTTTCACAGCTAGCACAAGTGATTTGACCTTGCTAATTGTTTCTGAAATGACTTTCAACCCATCTCTAGCAACCAAATTGAGAATATGACATGCACATCTGACATGAAAAAACAGCCCATCACACACTAGGGAGCCATTACCATTCTCTTTTAGATCTGAAATTATATCATTGACAGCCACTTCATTTGAACTAGCATTATCCAAAGTCAATGCAAACAGTCTTTTCTCAATGTACCATTTAACCATAACTTCACTGAATGTCTCAGATAACTTAGCACCAGTATGTCTACCTTTTACATTGAAGAAACCAATAATTCTCTTTTGGATACGCCAATTATCATCTATCCAATGAATTGTAACACACATGTATTCTTTGTTTTGGCATGAGGTCCACATGTCCATTGTTGCACTAAAGCGGCACTTGATAGTTTTTAAGTGTGCATACAAAGTTTCTTTTTCTTCAAGATATCTGTCAATTATTTCTTTCCTAACAGTGACACGAGACTTTATCGGAAAGCTAGGCCGAAGAGATTCTATGAAATCAACAAGATACTCATGCTCAACTATATTGAAAGGATATTCATGCATGGTGATTGCCAAGTTCAATTTCCTCAAGCTAACTTCTTGGTCATATTTGAAAGGCACGATATGAGCAATTTCAGAACCAGTGTTCTTACCAACATTAAGCTGTTGTTGTCCCTCCACAATACTGTGCTTTGACCTTAAATGGCTCTTGAATGCAGTCGTCCCACAAGGGCCCTCAGCTCTGTACCTCTTATTGCACCTAGCGAAATTGCAGTACCCCCACAGCTGCTCATACTGCTTTCCATCCACCTCTATAACCTCCTTTTTCTTGGTGAAATACTTCCAGACATGTGATGTGCATTTTTTGTACCTCTTGCCAGAAAGATGAGCCTGCTCTTCATCATCTTGATCATCTTCGCCGATATTAACTGGAGCTGCAGGTGTGTGCATTGTCGTGCACCACCAGTTTGAAATTTGGGCAGGCGATTACAGCTGCCAACCTTGAAAAAGATCTAACCGTGTCAATGTCAACAATAGGAGCATTGAACCGATCATTTGGCAAATCGACAGCAAGCACGGATGCTTGTGTGGCTGGACTATCACAAGTTCCAGGCTAATACTCTAAGATGCAGACCTTTTATTCCTAGATCCTGATGATCAAGCAAAATGACCAAAATAAATTAGAGTACTGATAAAAATATATCAGATTTTTCCCAATAAAAACTATATCAGATTTTGATAAAAACTATAGTTTTTCCCAATAAAAATATCAGATTTTGCAGGACAAAATATTAATTACAAAGGCAAATCAATGCTGCACCAAAATAGAAGACTAGGTTTTATCTAGCCTCATAGCCCGTGCTTATCTAATCTTTGTGTCAGGTTTTGGTTTTGTGTCCAAAAAAAAAAGATGTTCACAATCGCATAGTTGGTGACAATATCTACTGGAGTATGACATATCGCATACAGTTCAGTGAGATTGATTTAGATGTATCGCCTGCCTCTAGTTTTATGTTTAATACAAGTGTGTTAACATGTACTGCTGGTTGTCATGGCTAGTTAACTAGAAAATTTAACATAGTAAAATCTTTGTTGAAAGGGGTCCCGGTGCATCTTATAGAAGTGTGGCTCTGAAATGGACAGCAAATTTGTCTGTGGTTTTTTTCTTTTCTCCTGATACGCACCAGATTCCTAAAAATTAGCAATTGCCTGGTACCAATGTACTGTTGCGGTTTCCAAGTGAACATTATCTGAACATAAAATTCATTACCCGTAGACTGTCCAGTTTATTAGTCACTCTTGAGCAATTGATCAAACACTGTCACTGAGTCAAAGCTTTGTTGATGGTTACTAAGATATATCCGATATACAACCGCCTAACCAAATAAAAGATAGCATTTCATACACAAGTGTCACCAGGCTTTATTACTTAGTGCAGAACTGAATAATACTAAGTTGATGTTCCAATCCTGAATTTCTGGAGGGGATTAGTGTACGTCCCTAGCCAGCAGACTCATATGTACTGCTCCAGCATTGACAAACAACACACATATCAAGACTACAAATCTTCAGAAAAGAAAACATACTGAACGATGCATCAGATATATCATACATGTTCAGAGTTGAGACTGAAACTTTCTACTCAGTATGATATCACACGTCCACAACTAAGCCTTCATCAATCTAGAAACATATATGTCTTACACGTGCTAGCTAGTAGTGCATGTCTGCAAAGCTTCTAGCACTGGTTCTGTATGAGAGCATACGGCAATGTAAAATAGCTAGCAGGAGCAGCCAAGCGGAACATCAAGACCCCAGATCGATCGTACCTGGAGCTGGAGGTGGCGCTGGAGAAGTCGTAGCTGCCGGTGCCGGTGCCGGTGCCCGTGCTGTCGGCGGCGCAAGAAGTTGGCGCACGGTCTTGGTCTTGGCCTTGGCCTTGCCCTTCGTGGGAGCAGAAACGCCATCTTCGGTGGGCGCCATCGATGGGCACTGCGGTCGGCGGCGTTGGCTGGCAGTGGCAGGCAGAGAGCTGCAGGGCGCGGCGGTGCTCCCGGCGTACCTCGAGAACTTGGCCGGCGCGGCGGACCACCTGGAGCGCTCGTCGCGGGCGCGGAGGTTCAAGGCGCGCCTCCTCACCGACCTTCGGCACGCGCGTGGGGATGACGGACGGCGCGCGCCCTTAAATAAAACAAAGCAGGAGGAGGAGGAGCCGACCGAGGCGATCCTGCAGGGGCCTGGGACCGGGATGGGTAGACAGGGTAGTGGACTAGTGGGAGTTTGGGGATTAGGGTTAGCTTCGTTATTGGGCTGGGCTAGTGCACTGCTGGGCTAGTGCCCTGCTGGGCTAGTACATGGGCTAGTGCCCTCTGCCCTGCTGGACCAAATTCGGTTCTAAACTGAATTTAAATTCGGTATATTTCGAATATAATGTAGAAATATAGAAATCGAACGAACAAATGCCCAAACCGATTTCGTACCGAATTTCGAATTATGTACTCCGTATTTCGTTTTCGAATTTAGTATCCGTTTTTGTCCGCAAAAAACGAATTCGATCGGGTTAAATGTAGAAAACGACTGCGGTTCGGTTCGGGATATTTCCGTATCGTTTTCATCCTTAGCAACTACATACTTAAAAAAACTTCAAATATAGCCTTCATGGATCTCGTTTTGTTTTTCACATTTTTCCAACAACCTAGTTCAAACGGATTTAAAATCGGATCTGTCGTTTATGAGATATCGCATTTTTTTGTTTCGAATTAAGAAAAAATTCCCTGCATGCATGCTTCCTGGTCGGTGGGTTAACATGTGATGTGGCATCACATGGTTGGTTGCCTCCATCTATTTTTTGCATGCACGAACATGGAGTTTGTTAAAGAGGACCAGCTGCTGTGCGGTACGCGTGGAGTCTGGTCCGGGCCTGTACGTCTCTCGCTCGCCACTCGCACTCGCGGTCGGGTGCATTTGCTGCACAGAATGCACCTTGGTGCATTTTAGCCTCGTAGAGGGAGAGTATATTAAGTAGTCAGCTATAAAATAAGTTATTCCGTAGCCACCTCAATTTACAATAGTTTTATATAATAATTTACGATAATGTCAATACATATTTACGATAGTTGGTTTACTATAACACATGAAGATATTTAATATAACGTTATAGTAAACTACTTAGTATAGAGTTACTATAATCTCGTAAATTAACATAGTAATTATCGTAACTCAAAGTGGCTACAAAATAAGTTATTTTATAGCTAGCTACAGATATAGTGTGTGTGTATATATATATATATATATATATATATATATATATATATATATATATATATATATATATATATCATTTGCAGTATTTAAAGGCATGATAATTGTTATTAATGTAACGAACTAATATGTGACACATACACGGTGGCAGAGCAACAGAACATAATTTGAAGGGTGACAACAGGAGTACTTTTCATGAGTCAATGGAACACGGCGCTGGCTGGCGGTTATATAGAAGAACTTGACAACTCGCAGCTATTATTGGACTTTCATGATTGAGGGAATAGGCCAGTTTCCGTAAGGTATATGATGATAAGAGTCGGATTACATGGCCAAAATTCTTTGGTCGTTCATAGTTTCTCTTCCTTGGCCATGACATTCAGAGATACTTCCCTGGGCACATAACTTTCTGTAGTTCTTTATCAGAATAAAGTGAAGATTTTTACCTGGAGCACTTTTTCTAATGCAAGAGAGAAACACAGATGCACTTCTGTTAGGGAAATCCTTCATTCACAAGCTATCTTTGGATGGTTTAGCTCAAGTCATACTACCTTTAGCCAAAGCAAAGCTACAGTAACAGGTCGGAGGAGTACCGTCCAAAGAAGTAAGATGGAGCCTTTGACAAAAACATTTTTGCCTTTTTTTTAGGAGTCAGCGTCATAAACAGTGGCCCGTGCGTTTATATCTCCATTTGGATCCTACGAAAAAATTCCTATACGCATGATCATTTAAGGCTACGTTATGTCGTAAACAAATTTTCTATGCTTTGGTTAATTACTCTGGATGTTTCAATGTAATGGAACGATATATGTTGTAGTCAAATGAAGTAGTACTTGGGGCCACGCCCACGCCCAAAAGTTAATTTTTGTGACTACAAGAAGTAGTCTTATTGACATCAGTCAATTAGGTATTTAAATAGTTGCACAATTTCTTGGCTTTCACTAATTGACACCATCTGCTTGGTAATCCTATTTTTATATATGAAGCTAACATTTTTTAAGGAAATAGATTTTATTTTGATATCACAACTCAGTGACTTTGTAGAAAAATGTATATAGAAATTAGAAACGTAGAAATATGGATCAATGTCCATACCGTGTTATGGTTACCTAAGCTAGCATACACTACGCCAGATTTGCACATCACTGCCGGCATCATCACTGTCGGATTTGTGAGAACCGGCAGTGACGTACCTTCACTGTCGGTTATGAGCTTGAAAATGAAAAAAATGATTGGGACCGGGATAAAACCGGCAGTGAAGGACCACATCACTGCCGGTTTGTGCCTTGAACTGGCAGTGTTTTAGCGGGCACTCATCACTGCCGGTTTAAGCCAAGAGCCGATAGTGATTGGGCTCTATCACTGTTGGTTCTAGCCAAGAACCGACGGTGCTAAGCCTACGACACAAAAAGGCTACAGCCGTCCTCTCCTTCCTCCCCTCTTCCGTCCCGAGAACAGAGGCGTGTGTTTGGACCCTTCCCTCCATTGTTGCGGCTGCTTTTCACCATGAAGCTAGTGCTTGGATTTTGAAGAATGGCTTGATCTTTTTGCTTTAAGGTTAGTAACAAACATCCACTCCTTTGATTTTGTTGCTTAATTAGCTTCGTTTTGATGGTACATTGCTTGATTCTCATTCTAGTTCTTTCTCAAATCTAGAGAGCACTTTTTCAATTGGACATTTGTGCAAGCCTCAAATTGTGGTGAATCCATCGTCCAAAAGGTTGGTGTCTATAAACACATTCAACTTTCTAGCTAATTATTCCATGGTGGTCAAGATCATCATTGTTAGTATGTGATGCTATAATTAGTTCTTAGAAGTAGAGTAGAATAGTTGTTCTTGAATATTGTGCAATAATTGTTTTTACTATGATTTTCAATTTACAGGGCCGGGGCTACCAATTTCAATTTTTCAATAATTAGTGTACAATAATATTTTACAAAAATGGTACTTTCGAGCTACAATTGTTGTTCATGGAGCTTGATTTCTTATTAATTCTTTGTAATTACTGTCTCAGTATTTTTTTGTGTAGAGATGGATAGAGAGTGGATGCATCTGTCCCGAACGGACAAGCAGTACATGCATGGCGTCAGCCAGTTTATCACCGATGCCAAAGATTGCAAGAATCATAGGAACTTTCGTCAAATTGAGTCTATACGATCGCACTTGATTACCAGGGGGTTCATGCCAAACTATACGATATGGACTATGCATGGTGAGGTTGGTGTGAATGTTCTGCAAGGAAACGATGATGATGTGGACATGCCTGACGTAGCCATCCACGATGCTAATGAGGAACCCGGTGTCAACACGGAACCCATGGCCACAGTTAATAATGTGTTTAGGAACACGCTAGCTGATGACACCGAGGATAACGATGGCATTTCTCAGCTGCTACGTAATGTAGAGACCGGATGTCTTAGTGAAAGACAGCTGAGAAAGCTAGAGAAAATGAGACAAGATGGCAAAACACCATTGTATAGGAATTGTCCAATGAGCAAACTAGAAGCCGACATCATGCTGTTAGAGTTCAAATCGACAAACGGATTGAGCGATAAAGGCTTCGATCAGTTGCTTGGTATAATAAGGAAAATACTCCCAGAAAAAAATGAGTTGCCAGAAGAGACATACTTGGCCAAGCAAATGATCTGCCCCATTGACCTTGAGGTTGAAAAAATCCACGCGTGTTCCAATAATTGCATATTGTACCGTGGAGAAAAATACATAGATTTGGACAAGTGCCCCAAGTGTGAAGCTCCACGGTACAAGGAAGGGCCGTCAGATGAGGGTACCAAGACTAGAGGAGGTCCCGTAAAGGTCGTTTGGTATTTTCCTATAGCTCCCCGGGTGAATAGGCTATTTGCATGTGCAAAGTCAGCCAAGCTGTTGCGCTGGCATGGCGAAGAGCGTAAGAAAGATACAATGATGAGGCACCTCGCCGATGGGCATGACTGGAGGACAGTCAATACTATGTTCTATAAGGACATCGGTGGACAGGTAAGGCACCTTTGGTTTGCTTTGAGCATAGATGAAATGAATCCTTTCGACCAGGTTAGAAGAAATCATAGCACCTGGCCAGTGACACTCTATATATACAACCTTCCACCTTGGGTCTGTATGAAGCGGTCGTACATCCAGATGCCACTACTGATCCAAGGGCCAAGATAGCCTAGGAATGACATCAATGTGTTTCTGGAACCAGTGATCGATGAACTAGTGGAGATGTTTGAAAAGGGTGTGCCGAATGTTTGGGACGAGTACAAAAAGGAACATGTCACGATCAAGGGAGTACTTATCGCTACAATCACCGACCTGCCAGGTCGAGGTTCGTTGTCCGGAGAGAAGACAAAAGGCTATACTAGATGTGTCAAGTGCTTAGACGACACTGATGCGGTAAATCTGCCAAATAAGTCAAAGATAGTTTATATGGGACACCGTATGTTCCTACCTAAGGATCACCCTTACCATAGGAACAGAAAAGATTTCAACGGTGCTATTGAGAAATGCTTAGCTCCAAAATATTGAGATGGGCCTGCGATACTTTGAGAACTCAACAAACAAGAGGTTGTCCTTGGGAAGGGGGACAATGCAGTAGCAGCGCCTGATGGGAGCGTTTGGAAGAAAAAATCGGTTTTCTGGAAACTACTGTATTGGCCATTTCTGAGTGTACGCCACTGTCTTGATCCCATGCACATCACCAAAAATGTGTGCGCTAACACTCTTA